AAAGATGTTAAGTTTAATTGGGGAAGGGCACAAGAAGATGCGATACCCGAATTAAAGGCACGATTATGTAGGTCACCGATTCTTAAGATGTAGAATCCAAAGGCCCGCACAGAAGTGCATACGGATGATGGCGTGGGAGGCGTGTTGTTGCAGGAAGATGAGGACAAATTCTTGCATCCAGTTTCATATTTTAGTAGAAAGTGAACGAAAGAAGAGTCTAATTATCACTCTTACGAACTAGAAGCGCCTAGCGATTGTAACTACGCTTGATCGGTTTCGTGTATATCTTCTAGGAATTCACTTTACTATTAAGACAGATTGTAATAGTTTGAAATTGTTAGCATCAAAAACACATGTCTCCGAGAGTAGGTAGATGGTTTGTGAGACTAAGTGAATACAACTACACGATAGAATATCATCGTAGTGAGAGTAACAATGTAACGGATGAATTGACTCGGAATCTGGTCGAGAACGCGAAAGAAATCGATTTAATAGGCTTATCTGTTTTGAATATAAATATAACAACGGATTGGGTTGCAGCAATGCAACGAGCGAATAAACTAGAACAAGGAGACCAGAAAACACACGAAAAATATACTATGCGTAACAGTAGGGTCTATCGAGTCACGAAGGGAAGATGGAGATTGTACGTGCCGAGCGAATTATGCCGTGACATTGTATCCGAAACACATAAAAACTTATGTCACGTCGGTGTGGACAAAACGTTAGTGGCGGTAGAAGAACCATATTATTTTCTTCGAATGAGAGAATTCATTACCAAATATATTAATTGTTGTATGAGCTGTCTATACCATAAAACGATGACTGAAAAACCACCGGGCTTATTACATCCCTTGGACAAGGGCAGCGAACCATTTGACGTAGTTCATGTTGACCACTTGGGATCATTTATTGTGACAGCAAGGGGTAATAGATATATAATTGCGATTGGTTGTGGATTTTGTAAATATAGTATGCTTAAGGCAGTGTATGATACAAGTACGGAGGAGACACTAATTTTTCTTAAAGAATTTATGTCGCATTATGGGAAACTTAGGCGCATCATTACAGATAGTGGTCCTGCCTTCACGTCAGGCGGATTTGACCAATTTTGTCAAAACTCTGACATAAATCACGTGAAAATAGCTACTGCAACACAACGAGCGAACGGGCAAATAGAACGTTTAAACAGATTTATACTTATCTGTATAGCAACGACGTGTAACACCGACGCACAGTGGGTTGAAACGCGAAAAACGCGGACAAAACCTATTTTTGACGTAATTTTTCGGTTGAAGTTAAATACAAATATGCAATTTTATAGATTTTGATGCGCAGAATTCGAATTAATAATCAGATTTTACCTGATTCGATACATGTAAGAGTTATCAGATGTGTTGGGTATAGTAGGTGCCGCCAGGAGGCGCGGCAAACGGGCTTGCCATGCGCCGGGGCGGCGAGAGTCAGTTGGCTGGACGGGGAGCCCATGCCCGCGACGAACTCAACAACTGGCGCTGCGGCTAAAGAAGTCTGAATTTTCGTACCAAAATTCAGCAGAACCTGTGTCGTGTGGGAAACGTGCATCATGGCGACCGCCAATGACGACCTAAAGTCTCTCACGTCAGCCATTCAGAGCCTGCTTCAACTACAAATTCAACAGAGTAGTGCAGGGAAGGCTGGAGGACCACCTCAAATCGACGCTTATAATCAGTTAAGTGCTCGCATCGAAAAATATACATACGGGACGGCAGAGGATACAAAGCCGTTCAGGAAATGGCTTCTCCGTCACGAGTTTACAATCTGCACGGAGGCAGCGTGTCTCTCTCCGGAAATGAGAACACGTCTCGTACTTGACAAGCTCGGTCAATCGGAATTTGATAGACTTGTGGACCACGTCGCACCGTTAAATCCGTCGGAGATGAGTCAAGAGAACCTTCTGGAAGTTTTAAAGGAACTCTTCCGAGACAAGGTGTCGGTAATACGCCGACGTATAGAAGTCCTGAATTACCGATACGACAAGTCTACCCCAATCACGGAGCATATCGATCGCATCAATCGCCACGCGGCCGAGTTTGATCGACCGGGATTGTCCGACGATGGGTTGAGAATACTGTTACTTTTACAGTCATTCTGCTACTCGAGTGAACACGACGAGCTGAAGAGGATAGCTCTCCGAGTTGTCGAGAAAAATCGGGAAGCCTCCCTCAAAGACGTTGTCACCGAACTGGAAGCGTACTTAAACATATCTTCAAGCATGAAAACGCTTGAAAATCCGCTGAGCGCTGTGTCGCCTTCGGTTCTCAAAGTGACACAGCCGATACGGTACGATCCGAAAGTGCCGAAACGGTACGATCCGAAAGGGCCGAAACCTCCGGTCAGTTCGTTTCAACCTCCCACAAGTGTCAAATGTAACGGTTGTGGTGGTGATCACCCTCGTGTAAAATGCAAATTTCGGGATGCAATGTGCAACAAGTGTGGCAGAAAGGGCCACATCGCCGTAGTGTGCCGATCAGAAGGGAAACAGCTGAAATCTGTCGTAAAAAGTAAGAGTGTAACCACGCTGGCACTTTCTACTGTCAGTAAACGACGTCGACGTTTCGTGGCGGTATCTGTGGGCGACAAAATCCTAACTCTTCAATACGATACCGGTTCGGATATCACTATCATCGGGAAAGATTGTTGGCGCCACCTGGGATCCCCGGGCCTTACGAAAAGCGAAACGGTGGTACACGCTGGAGGAAGCGAGCTTGGGACACTCGGCTGCTTTCGCACGACGGTCAGTGTGCTCGACCGAGAAGCGGAAATCGATATTCACGTCGCCAATCGGAATGGTGTGAATCTATTCGGCCTAAACGCCGTCGATAATCTCCAGCTTTGGTCTGTTCCGCTGTCAGAGTTGAACACTTCGTACTCTTTAGGGCCGGCAGTTGCGCCATCGGCCAAAAGAGTTACAAACAAAGCTGTACCGACAGCCACGCCAACTGGCGACGCACACGCGCACGCAGTCACCAAACGATTTCCTAACCTGTTCTCGAACGAACTCGGGAAGTGTCACGATTTCACAGTCAAATTCAATCTCACAAGTGACGCGCGGGCTGTACAAATTCCTTGTCGTCCAATTCCGTTTGCCATGGAGAAGCCCCTCGAAGAGGAACTCCAGCGACTGGAATCAAGGAATATCATTGAGCGTGTGGAGTCATCGGATTGGGCGTCACCCATCGTTATGGTCAGGAAAAACAATGGGAAAATTAGACTGTGTGCCGACTACTCTACCGGAGTCAACCGCGCTCTGACAGACAACCGTCACCCTCTGCCTAGTGTGGATAACATTATTACAAAACTTAACGGTGGTTGTTTTTTCAGTTTGATCGATCTAAGCGAGGCGTTTATGCAGCTTGAGATTGACGAGGCCCATCGAGAAATTACTACCATTACTACTCCGAAAGGGCTATTTCGGTTCAAGCGCCTACCCTTCGGTATCAAAACGGCGCCGGCGATTTTCCAGCAAGCAATGGATAGTACCCTCTCTGGGCTCGAAGGAGTTTACGCGTACCTTGACGATGTCATAGTTGTAGGTTGCAATCGTCAGGAGCACGACGAGCGTCTAGTGCGGACCTTGCAACGCCTGGAGGAAAAGGGATGGAAACTCAGCTTCGAGAAGTGCTTTTTCACTGTTCAACAAATCAAATATCTTGGGTTGATAGTGAATAAACATGGCATTTCTGCCGATCCTGAGGCAACACGGGCCATAGCAAGCATGCCTAATCCAAAAAATGTTTCAGAGGTGCAGAGTCTTCTCGGTCTGGTGAACCACTACGGGAAATTTATTCCCTATTTACATGAAATAAAGCGTCCCCTCGAAGAGCTGACACGCAAAAACAAGCTTTGGATGTGGAATAAACATCACGACGCTGCTATGGAAAAGATTAAAAATGTGATGCTGAGTCCACTCCTGCTAGAACACTACGATCCAACAAAGACACTGATAGTGGCTGCCGATGCTAGCTCCACTGGGATCGGAGCAGTCCTACTTCAACGCGACTCTAACGGACACGAACGCGCCGTTTATCACATGAGTCGAAGTCTCACGGACTCCCAACGGAATTATTCCCAGCTGGAAAAGGAAGCACTTGCGCTCGTCACTGGAGTTGAACGCTTCCATAAATTCGTATGGGGCAGACGGTTCGTCTTACAAACTGATCACAAGCCACTGGTGGCCCTGCTCCAAACCGAAAACACAAAGGGCCTGAGACCAACCACAGCAGCACGGCTCAAGCGTTGGGCACTGCGTCTTCTTGGGTATGATTTCAAGATTGAATACATTCGTACTCAAGACTTCGGGCAAGCAGACGCCTTGTCGCGGTTGATGGTAAAATTCCGCCAGGATAATGCCGAAGAACTACAGGTGGCGGGGGTGCAGGAGGTCGAAAAGGAACTCCTCCAAGTCAGGAATACTTGCATCGACTCGTTCGGAAAGGAAATTCGAGGCAAGCTAAAAAAGGCTACGGAAGATGATTCCATCCTCACCGCTGTGTTCAAGGCCATCAGAGAAGGCTGGAGCAGTACTGGGAATCCTGAGTCCTTACAGCACTACCAAAGACGCGCCGATCAACTCGCCATAGTGGGACGGTACACTCCTACTCAGTGATAGGATTGTCATCCCTGACAAGCTGAGGCCAGCTATCTTGACCGCTCTCCACCGAGGACATCCGGGCATCCGTCGAATGAAACAACTCGCAAGAGAGTACGTCTACTGGCCAAAAATGTCAGGAGACATCGAACAGCTTGTACGCCAGTGCGATCCTTGTGCGCTGACCCAGAAGCTTCCTCGCAAGGTGCCGCTCAACCCGTGGCCGGTACCATCACGTCCCCTTGAGCGGGTGCACCTGGACTTCGCTGGTCCCATCGACGGAAAATACATCCTAATTTTTGTGGATGCATACTCTAAATACCTAGACGTATCACTCTCAACCTCGATTTCAGCAAGCCGTACCGTCGAGATGTGTCGCGAAATTTTCGCCAGATATGGCGCTCCCGAGGTGATCGTCACTGACCACGGCACCCAGTTTACAGCAGAAGTATTCGCTGTCTTCTGTCGTGAAATGCAATGTACGCATCTCTTGTCAGCAATAAATCATCCACAATCGAACGGTCAGGCCGAAAGAATGGTGGATACGGTAAAAAGAGCTATCGCGAAGGATCCTACAAACTGGAAGAAACAGTTATACGAGTTCTTGTACAGCTACAGGTATTCGCCGTGCTCCGCAACAGATACCGGGAAATCTCCGGCCGAAATCTTCTTCGGCAGACGGATGAACACGCCGTTCACCAAACTGTTTCCTAAGTTCTCAACCGGTGAACATTCTGGAGCGTCTACTCCGGCAATACGACGAGGTATGAAGCAGCAGTTTAACAGACACCACGGCACCATTCCACGTCAACTTTCCGTGGGAGATCGTGTAGTGGTCTTGACGAGCAGGAATAAGCGTGAACAGGGCGAGGTCTGGAAGATCTTATCTAAGACGCGCTATACGGTACGCCTTGACAACGGCAAGGTGGTTGATCGACATATTAACCACATTTGGAGGGGAGGATGTGGAACGGCAAAGCCAAGAGGAGGAGATGAGATCGACAACTGGGGATTCTACGAACCACCCCCAAACACCTCTTCTGTTCCGCAGACCGTTCCCGACACTGGCATACACCTAAACACTTCGCAGGAAACTCAGTTGTCCGGGAACCAACACTTCGAAGAAGCGGTCACCCAACCAGCATCTACGAGACCAACCCGCCTTCGAGCACCAGTAAGAAGACTGATGTTAGATCCAGCCTCTAAATCCTATTTGGAGTGCTGACTTTTCTGAAGGGAAGATGTTGGGTATAGTAGGTGCCGCCAGGAGGCGCGGCAAACGGGCTTGCCATGCGCCGGGGCGGCGAGAGTCAGTTGGCTGGACGGGGAGCCCATGCCCGCGACGAACACAACAAGATGAAATTTGTTTTTAAAAGCGTTAATTATGGATTTAACCAAACTTATTATTAAATATATCATTTTATATTTTATATGTTATAATTATATGCTATATTGATATAGAATCTGTATAATTTACTTGATTTTAATGATCTTCGGACCATGTTCCGTAGTCGTCTTCATCGTTATCTTCACTTTCACTAGTTGACCCTTCTTTTGGTTTCAATAACTGAAGCACTTCTTCGGATAGTTTTGATACGGAGGTTTTCGGTATATTTTTACTCGCTATAACCGGATCAGAAGTGGATAATAGTCTATAGAATAAGTCACGGTTAGTATGATATCTGGAACGTTTCTGTGTATGGTCTCTTCTGAACCGTTTCACGTATTTATTTTGGGCTTCCATCGATTCTTCAGAAAGATGTCCTATAGGAAGAAGCATTGCTTTTGCTATTTTTGCTCCGTGAATTAAAACTTTGTGCACAGAAGGTGGCATATAATACCAATTATAATTGTCCACATATAATTTGGCCGTTTCTTGACAATAATTATTAAACGGAACATCATTTATTTCTCGGCCGCTATTTAAGACGGTTAATATATTGGAAAATCGTTGTATTAATTCTTCATTGACACCAGTTATTTCCGAAAATAATCTTACATTTCTAAAGGCACGTCTGGCGGTATTTCCGTCATTCGATGTACCATGTCCCTGTTTAGGTAAATCTACCAAAAGACCCATTTTCTGTTTAAAATCTTCTTGCACTCTGCGCTTTCTTTTTTCCAATAATTCTTTATATGAAAATTCCTGTGTTTCACTTTTTTTTGACGTTGCTTGCCATTTTTTAAAATCTAGCCTATATGATATGTGAAGCACGCACTCTAAAAATCGAATTCGGCAGTGCAAGGGTGAAAGACCAAATTGTATTGAAGTAGGATCTTCGGAGAATTGAAAAGAGATGTTGTCCAAATTATTCATTTCTGAAATACTGCATTTACATATATAACAGCGCATGCTTGATGTATGTGTAAGGGAATTACAAACTTTGCCATCTATCATGGTGAGCAGCATTTTAAACTCTACAGAAATGTTCTCAAAGGTATACCGTACTAAATTGTTAATTTCTGTTTGAATCCTTTCCTCTTCTTCTTTAATTAATTCTGTCGTCTCGTGTATCCACTGGAGGGATATCGGTCTGCAAAATCGGGAACTGGATGGTCTTGGATTTTCCCAATATACCTTCTTGGAAAATGTTCCAATTAGTTTAAGAGGTACCATTGCCGTCATAAAAATATTTTCATCAGACTGGTTTGTATTAGAATTGTGCCACCCTTGTTTATACGTAGAATGACCAGAGCTTCCATCCATTCCCCATTTGGATATTAAACAGAAATTATTTTCCTCCGTTTCTAATGTAGGTGTAAGAAGCAACTTAAATCGTTGTATCGTATGGTTTAACAGATTTTGTACATTTACTATACACTTTGTGTCCGAAATCTCAATGTTTTGTGGGTATGTTTCTTTGCGTACACGTCGAAGAATAAAATCGGATGGAAGAATAGTACTTCCATGTGCTATACAAAGCTGTCTCACATTTAGATATTGTTGTCGGGTAAAATGTGATGACATTATTAATGATAATGCCTCTTCTGGAGGTTCTGAGGATGGAGAATCTTCATCAGAATTTAATTTCTTCCACATTTCATTTGCCTCAGCTGGTGTTGCCTGGGCAATCATCCTAATTAATTTTGCTGCTGCCACATTTCCAGATTTGTGTAAACTTCGAGCAGCTGCGTGTATTAAAATATCTGCTGGTGTATTTTCTAATACGTCGTCTGTTCTGCGACGTTTATTTCTCTCACTTAACTCTGCAAATTCTTTTTTCGGTCGACCCCCTTTGGACGAGGAATCGTAACCACCTGATTCAGCGAATACTTCATCTGGAAAATGAATTATCTCCGCTAGCCACTGTTCATTTTTCTCTAGAAAATAGGAGTTCTTTCTATGAGAATCGTGCCATCTGTCGCGACCCGACTGTGATCGCGACCTCGCCACTCGCGACCGCGCGTAATTTTTCCTTGGCTCGGGGTCGTCACTCCCCAGCTTCCTTTACTGATTCGCGGCCGTACTGCGACGCGTTATCTTAACAAATTAATTTTAAGACTAACTGGTTCAAATTTTGATGGTTTGGATTTGATGCTGAATGTCTCGCTCTATTTAGACTGACTGTCCCCGGGCGATCGGGGTGCTGCCTTTTATAGGTGCTTCCCGATCGTCATTTTTTTCGTCGAGCCGGGTGCAAAAATCCTCGCACGTGCGTGCCGCGGAACATTCTCGATCCTTCGAGAACGGTATTCCGCGACACGTGTCCGCTATCGAATTTTGCACCCGGCCCGATTCCTACAATCGGTTGGGGACGGCCCGATTTCTGGAATATTCTTTCGCGTCGGCCGGAACACCATCGTTTCTGGTATTTGTATATGAACTGCACTTTTAACGTGTTTATAACAATCACTCTATTCCTTGTATTGGCTGTAATGTTTAATTGTTCGATTACATAATCTGCCAGTTCCGCAGTTACATTTGCAGTTTTTAATTGCATACGCTTGTTATGCAACTGCATTCGCGTTATGTTCTGCATGTTCCACAGATTATAATTCACAATTCACACTTTACAATTCACACTGACACTTACAAACTCACAGTTTACAGTTTACAGTTCACAGTTCACAATACACAATCCGCAATCAATATATACACAGTAATAAAAAAAATTAAAAAATTAAAAAATTAAATGAAAGATATAAAATGCAAAAACGTATGTAGAGTGAAAAAGCCGTGGGGGTCACCGGTGATAGGACTAAATAACAGAGTAATCACTTAGCAACCGAAACACGATTGTTTGAAAAAAGGACAATCGTAATAATTGTCTACAACGCCGTGGGGGTCACCGGTGATAGGACTAAATAATGAGAGTAATTACTTAGCAACCGAAGCACGATTGTTTGAAAAAAGGACAATCGTAATAATTGTCTACAACGCCGTGGGGGTCACCGGTGACCACCACGAAAAATGCTTCAAGCATGATTTTATAACTCATTTTATTTTCTGCAAATAATATTTCAACATAATATGCATCGCATAATGAAAAGTTCACGTTGGCGCCTTGGGAAAACCATGGAAAATGCGTCTGGCAGTCAACGTGTTAAATAACGTCGATAACTGAATCGGCTTTACATTTGAAGTTATTGGCCACTAACGCGACGAATGCATGCGATGCATCATGCGTATGCTACCATGTCGTCGTTTTTTTAGTTTATTATAAAGAGCTGCGGCTAGCTGCAGTTGATATTTTTTTTATTTCATTCTATATACATTCAGCTTTAATGTGAATATTAATTGAATGCGGAAATCGATGGCGATCGAACTGTAACTCTACTTAACTGAAAAGAAGAAAGGAAAATTACACTTTACTTAATCAGTTTCTATAGCTGCCTTATATAATGAAAAGAAACAAAGGAGGTACTTATTTTTTTCTACCTAAAACGCCTTTTCAACAGAACATAGGCACAGAATCTTAACTTATATACGTGTCGATTTGTAACCCGTTATAGTAATCGTTGTTTTAAAGAATTAAGTAAGAGTTCAATTTATGACTTTTATCTGGAATTTCGTGCTTGATTATGGGGTACAGGAATTAAATTTTGAAGAATTAAATATAGGATACGATACCTCATTTATTTACCTTTAAGTTAATAACAAGATTTTCATTTTTTTCTTATGTCAGAAAAATAGGTTTTGTCCTCGTTTTTCGCGTTTCAACCCACTGTGCGACGGGGCGATTGGGATGTATACAGGGTGTTCGGCTACCTATGGCAAAAATTTTAATGAGCGATAGTAGATGCCAAAATAAGACGAAAATCAAGAATACTAATTTGTTGATGGAGGCTTCGTTGCAAAGTTATTAACATTTAAAGTTCCGTCTGTAGAATGACAACCCGCTAAACAGCTGCGTTCGCGCGGACGGTTGCGGCAGGCCAGTGCTAGTAGTTCTCACGCAGCATGAAAAATTCTACTTACCGACATTATCGACAGCCTTAGATTTTTGTCCACTTATGGGAATGCGAACACCTTACGTTGAATAAGATTCAACCTGTCTTATGAAAACCCAGAAGGGCATATCAAAACTCGCCCGACGAGATTTTCACAGAGAAAGGGTGAATGCCAGTTCCAATACATAATGTTGTGAACAAAAATCACCCACACGCGATTATACACGCCCCACGATTGTCCACAGTGTCCACAAGTATCCACAAATAATCCTTTCAGGCACTAACCACTATGCAATTAATAAACACGTACCGCGATTATGTTATTCGTGAATGTCTACGTGTACGTGTATCACGATTCTTCCGAGTTACTTACGAATAAAACTGTTATTAATTTTTCAAATACACTTCAATTTAAAAATGTAAACAGGAATTTAATAAGTATTCGCTGATTGTTTATATCACTGTATTTCTTACATGCTACTTAATACATAACTGATCAAAATGTCAAAATGTGTCGCGTGAACTAGCTTGACTGATACTGTTTTACGACTGACTAGCTGGCCGAACACGTGCCGATGCTGCCCTTTGTCTCCGCTGTGTGTGAGAGAGATAAGCGAGGCGAGTGACGTAGAATCGGGGCCTGTTCGGCATATGTTTTCTCTGAACCTCGTCGATCGATGGCACAGTCAGCTGCTAGTATTGTTACATTCTTCGCCGTGAACGTAAATCGATGCGAAAATTTCATTTATCCTGCGATTCCTTTTTACATTTTTAAATTGAAGTGTATTTGAAAAATTAATAACAGTTTTATTCGTAAGTAACTCGGAAGAATCG